ACACTTTTCAGCCATGAAACCTTTTCCTCAAGCAAAAATCTCACACCGAGACCCACAGAGCCAGGCAGAGACAAGGGCCGGGCAGGGTCCCGTAGTGAAGACTCCACTGGCAAAGGTGTCAGTGCCTCCAGGCCTGTCGGTCCCTGATGCGCCCTGAGCCCGGGAAGCTCCTGGAAAACCCCAGTCCCGCAGGCTCGCTGACCAGTGAGGACACTGGGAGGGCACAACGGGGCGGTGGGCTCAGAGCCAGCAACTGTGACCTGCAGTTGAGTCTGGGCGTCCTCCCCTCTTCGCAGGATGGGGGCTGTGAGGGGCTGGGCCTGCACTCCCACAGGGCACGAGTCCCAGCCCCTGGCGGGATTTCTTCCAAACACCCCTAGCACTTCCATGGGGGAATTCCTTCCCAACCCCTAATATCCCATTTCTTAGGAAATTAGTTGTTTTCCCAAATCCCAAAGTCTCCAGAAATTTCAGTTGAGAAACTGGGAAAATGGGGAACAGAATCACAATTCTCCTGGAGGAACTGAAGTTTAACAATCATCATAGAGATGATACTTCTTTAAAGTAACCAAATAACACTGAGAGCAAGAGCTGGAAAGACTTGAACATGGCGGTCAAAGTTAAGATGGGCATTTTGGGGGCTCAGGGCGGGAGGACCCAGGAAGGAAGAGGTCATGGTCCATCCGCGTGAAGCCTCTGCCATGTTCGTGGCCTCGTCTGCTGCTCAGTAAATGTTAGTGAGTGTGTATATATAGCCTGTTGTATACAAATCACACTGATCTTTCAAGAAATACGTTTTGGAAGTAAAGTAACTCCTTAAACTGGCAATTTCAACCGCATAGGAGAAGTGAATCTGATGTTATTGGAACAATAATGTTCACGGACCCTGCCCAGTGTTTGAGTCATTGCTACAGGCTATAGCTCTTTACGAATGACCTAACAAGAAACACTAAGAGAAAAAATATAAATGCCATGGAACACTGGGAGATGAAACCAGAAACGTTTGCTAATTTGAATATAAAATCTAAACTAGTGAAAGCAATAATAATTGGGATGAAAACCAGAATCAGAACACGCACACATACATGTCCATTGTTAAAAAAAAAAAATCAGCCCTGGCTGGTGTGGCTCAGTGGATTGAGCATGGGCCTGTGAAGCAAAGGGTCGCTGGTTTGATTCCCAGTCAGAGCACATGCCTGGGTTGCAGGCCAGGTCCCCATAGGGGACACATGAGAGGCAACCATACACTGATGTTTCTCTCTCACTTTCTCCTTCCCTTCACCTCTCTCTAAAAATAAATAAAACATTTTTTAAAAAATGAGCTCAGCCCTGGCCGAAGGCTCCGTTGGTTGGAGAGCTGACCCACACATCAAAAGGTTGAGTGTTTGAGCCCTGCTCAGGACACATATGTAGACAATCAATTGAACAACTGAAGTCTGTCTCTCACATCAGTATCTCCCTTTCTCTCAAATCAGTAAACATATAATCAATTGAAATTTAGAAAAATACAGTGAAATAAAATATGGTCACTCTTGTCTACCATTAACAAAAAGCCGACTGGGTAGTCCCTCCACAAAAAGGATTTGTTTGGGCAAAAGTAAGCATCGCAATCTGGTGCTTGCAGACATGACATTTACAAACAGAGCAAGAAGAAAGCAGATGCTTCACAAGGGGAAGAAGAAGTTACCCAGAGAGCTCCCTGGTACCCCTGCCTGTAGGCAGGTACCCCTACAGGTACTTCTTCCTGTGGCACTTCCATGACCCTCACAGGATGGGACAACTCCTTGCACAGGGTCCTCTGACTCCTGTCCTGGCTGAGGCCACTCTCTGAAATTTTGACACTTCTGCCTACATCCACTGCACAGCTGAGAAAACCCCACGTCATCATGGCCCTCAACTTCCTGTTGCACTCCCAGACTGGTTCCCTTAATAAAATTATCAAGTTGCCAGCACTATAAGCAAAGAGAATTCTGTGGCACTCTACCTCGTGACTTCCTGATTTTTCCTCCCCTTATAAACACCAGGGCAGGCCTGGGGTCCCAGGGAGTCGGGAGCAGAGAGCCCAGGAGTACTCAGGCCAGCTCTGCCCTCACACCTGCAAGATGAAGGTCTTCAAAGCTATCCTCCCCTTCCTCATCCTTGCTGCTGCCCTAGGACCCCCGACCCGTGGATCGCAACCCGATGGTGAGTGAGAGACCCTTTGCACTGGTGACCAATTTGGTGGTAACCTGAATTCCAGGGAGGAGACAGAGGTTCTCTGGAGGTGGATTTGGCACTTGCTTAAAGGCAGCAGCAGCAGCAGCAGCAGGGTATGGACCTTGCCCTGTGGCCTTTGTTCCTGGGGAAAGTGCACAGACCACTCGGGAAACAGTTCTCCTCCCTTTTCATGGCCACAATTATCTGATACCTTCCCTTAGCTCATATGGGACCATTATGAGCTTGAGCCAAAGAATTGTAGCAGATTGTGAACTGGGCAAAAAAGCACAGTCGCCTCCAATGTTGAACTAGTGTATCCCGTGCAGTGCAGACTATCAGTTTGAAGAGGAGATGGGACAAGCCGGGCTGGTGACTCACCCGAGTCCACCCAACCGTCCTACTGACTTAGTAACGAGGGAAAACCTCCACTGCCTTGTACAAGCAGAAACCACTGCCATCGTCTCACAGACACTGATGCACCGAACCCTCCTGACAACCCTGTGGAGCAGACGGCCAGCATGGGGCATGGTCTTGAGCATTTTTTTTAAAGAATTGATTTACTTTTAGAGAGAGAGGATGAAAAGGAGAAATAGAGGGAGAGAAACATCATGTGCGGTAGCCCACTGTGCACCCTCTACTGGGGACCTGGCCCCTAATCCAGACAGGTGGACTGAGTAGGAATTGAACCAGCAACCCTTTGGTTTGCAAGCCCATGCTCAATCCACTGAGCTGCACAGGCCAGGATGGTTTTGGGTATTATTATTAGTCTCATTTTACACATGAGAAGCTGAGGCACAGAGGCCTTGGATAACATGCTCAGATCCCACAGCCAGTAAGTGGTGGAGTCAGGATATGATCTAGCTAGGAAGCTGTTATGAAACGTAAACCAACCCATTTAAGACTTTATTTTGCCAGCCCCACACACATCATATCGAGCACACTGGACGGTACCCACGTGCCTCATTAAACATAACTCACGGGGAACTGCATAGGAAGTGAGCCAACAGCTCAGCGTGTTCGCCTAACCAGCATAACGCAGGCCTACAGTCCCTTCCCCAGAACACAGGGGCCGGGTGCACTTTGGAAGGCAGAGGCTTTGAAATGCAGAGGTTTGAAAAGGTGATACAATATCACCGGCAACTCCACCTCCGGATACACACCCGAAAGAACAGGAAGCAGGCACCTGGGAGACACAGGTGCACCCGTGCTAACAGCCGCACCATTCCTAACACACCCCAGGGGGAAGCACCCCAAGTGTCCATCAACAAATGAATGGATTCAAAGTGGGGGATATATTGTGCACACAATAGAATATTATTCAGCCAAAAAGGACAGAAATTGGGACACGTGCCAGCACATGGAGGAACGCTGAGCACGACGTTATGATAAGTGAAATGAGCCAATAACACAGGGTGAACACCCTGTGATTCCACTGACATGAGGCCCTCAAAGCAGCCAAGTCATAGAGACACAGTGTGGAGTGGTGGTGGCCCGGGGCTGGGGACAGGGAAGTGGGGAGTCACTGTCCAGCTGGGACAGAGGTGCAAGTTTACGAGACCAATAAAGCCCCGTGGGTAGTCTGTGGTTACAGTTGCACAGGATACGAATGTCCTTCATGCTTTAAAGTGCACATTGGAAAATGGTTAGCATTTGCTCAGTCTGGTCTAAAGTACACAGCTCTGTGCTCCCTCTGAGCCTCAAAGAATTGTGACTGTTCTTACGGCTCTGATGGCATTTCCGCCTTGTCCTATCTGATCCCTGAGCCCTTCCAGTCCCCACCAGGTCTCTTTGCCATTCATTCCCCTGATAACTACGGGGTGTGATAAAAGTGTATTCACAGTTGTGAACACGGGAAACACAGAGCTCACTCTTGTGTAGTAATTTCTTCATTATTGTACTATTCCCACACAAACACCTGAGAACCCACTTCTGCCCCACCCAGCATGCACTTCTCGGGTCTCGATCCCTGCAGGGCCCTGAGTCAGAGTCTGAGACAGAAAAGCAAGGTCAAAGTTGTACACTTTATATTAACACACATTAAAAAAAATAAACATAATTTTAAAAGATAACACATAACTGGACATTCTTAGCAGTCCTAGCAGACTCTGGGAAGCACACTAGAATCAAATAGTAACATCTCTGCCACAGACAGACACGAATATTTATGCTAATGGGACAAAGACTATAAATAGCCTCTCTTCACTTTGGGGGACTCTGTGCCACCAAATCACTTAACGAAGAACACCTTTTGGTCTCCAGGGCCCTGTGGGTTCCAGAAATGCGTGGGGAGCATGTTGTGGGCTATGGCACCTGCTGTGGCTGTGTGACTGATTTATCCATGTGGCATTTGCTGTTTGCTCTCTGTATTTAAAGTCAACAGGAAAGAAAGGAAGTGGATAGAACGTTTTCATGGCTCAAACATTTTCAGAAGTCCCCTCAGAAATCTCAGGGCACCAGTGAGACAACGGGCCAGGGGGCAGGCCCAGAACACAGACGGGCGCCCAGTGTCCAGCAGCAGCGTCGCCCCCTCCCCCGGGGCTGGGCTGGGGGGCGACACAGGTGGAGACACGGACACGGTGCCGCCTCCCAGTGATTCCTCTTCCCTCCTTGTCTCTGTCTCCCAATAGAACTCGGATCAGCCATGCATGTGCAGGATGATCCCAGGATACAGTATGAAGGTAAATGTTTCATTGTGCATGTATTTAAAGGCTGCTGTTGGGTACAGATCTGCTCAGTGGCTTCAGTCCTCCTCATTTACAGGACATGGGGAAAGGGGGAGGGGACATCTCCAAGGGGGACCAGGGTGCACTGTGGGTCCCTCCCCACACACGACCTCTGTCCCACCTGGCTGTCCTGGAGTCTGCTCACCTTGGGGAGAAGGGGTCCTGGCCCTGCCTGGGTGCACAGCTCAACCCTGGGGAGGGGAGCAAAGAGATGCCAGCAGGTGCTGCAGAGGAGGAAGCACCCCTGGAGCTCTTCCCCTTCACACCCTCCCCTGTGCTCTGCAGACAAGGGGGGAGGATGTAGTTCCCACAGAAAGAGGCTCTGTCCTTACATGGACCTTTCTCCTGCTACGGGCGCACACCGCGCCAGTGACTGCTGCTTCTCCTACGCCACACGAAATATCCGATGCGTATTCATGCAGAAATATTATAAAACGAGCAATGAGTGCTCCCAGCCTGCTGTCATGTAAGTGCCAAGCTTACCAGCCATGTCTTGGGGTTGGGGATCTGATGGAGGGAGGTCCGGAAAAGTCTCATCCTCTGGATGCTTTGAAGTCTGCAGAGGTTCGTGTCCTCATTAGGATCCTGCACAGCATCAGATACCAGATGCTCCCAGTGAAGGGGGCGGCCATGGAGCGGTGGGGAGAGCAGGAGCAAGGCTGCTCAGGGAAACGCCCCTGAGTCACTGAGAGGGTGCCAGAGGCAGGGTCTCCCAGAGGAGACCCCCTGAGACCCTAAAGCAGAGAAAGGGAGGAATAAGATGGGCTGAGTTGGGGAAGTCCAGGGGCCAGGATGATGGGGCTCCCCAATTTTATGTGCAGAAACCTCCTCACAGTATCATTTTCCTCTGCCTTGCTCCCCAGCTTCAAAACCAGGCGTGGGCGGGAGGTCTGTTTCCACCCCGGTGCTCACGGAGTCCAGGAATGCATGGTGAAGCTGGATTCAACCAAAAGCTGGAAAACGGTTGGTTGAGGAGAAGCTACGGTAGATGCCACATACCCGCCTCCACTCTCTCACCTTCTGGGAATTCCTTGGCCTGAATTCTTTTGTCAAAAGCAACAATTACTGTTCTGTTTGTAAAATCTGTGCACCAATAAAAAGTATCTAATTCAACTGTACTGGAACTTTAAGAGGAAAATGAAACGTAACAATTGTTGCTGGACAGGGGACCCCGATTCCATCCTTAGAGAGCAAGGGTGCGGCCCGGAGAGGGGCTGGGTGACAGGCCCAGGCCTTTCCCGCTCCGCCCAAGCATCCGCTGCCCTCGGGGGCCCCTGAGGCCATCACGACGCACACTCACGTTCCTGTCCGACTTGGTCATGGGACATGGACACCCCGAGTCACTCCACCCCATAAGCACAGCACGCTGAGACGCCCTTGGTCTCAAATGCCCTTCCTGCTGCGTCCGTAGTCCCGCTCAGCGTGGCTTTGCTGTCCCCCACTGTGACTCCCACAATCAGAAAATAATGGAAATGTCGCCTAACTCAGTGATTTTTTTAAAAACCACACTTTTCAGCCATGAAACCTTTTCCTCAAGCAAAAATCTCACACCGAGACCCACAACATCAGGCAGAGACGAGGGCTGGGCGGGGTCCCGTAGTGAAGACTCCACTGGCGAAGGTGTCAGTGCCTCCAAGCCTGTCGGTCCCTGATGCGCCCTGAGCCCCAGGAAGCTCCCGGAAAACCCCAGTCCCGCAGCCTGGCTGACCAGTGAGGACACTGGGAGGGCACAACGGGGCGGTGGGCTCAGAGCCAGCAACTGTGACCTGCAGTTGAGTCTGGCGTCCTCCCCTCTTCGCAGGATGGGGGCGCTGTGAGGGGCTGGGCCTGCACTCCCACAGGGCACGAGTCCCAGCCCCTGGCGGGATTTCTTCTAAATACCCTTCCTGGGTGGAGTGTCTCGGTCAGCAAGCCACCCCGGATGGCCTGTGCTCACTGAGGTGACCTGGCCTTTGCACCTCCTCACTCTGGAGTGGAAGCCACCAGCCTGTCCTCCTGGGAGGGTGAAGGGAGGAAGCAGGATGTTTGCTGACAAAGGAGGAGAAGAGGGGCAGAGGTGCAGCATGGAGAGGGGACAGCTGTGGGTCCCTCCACAGCCACGTCTCCCTGTTCTGCAGGGCCACCTCCTCCTTCCCTCCGGCTTCCTGCCTTCAGGTGTCGCCTTGCACAAGGGCCCCGTTTCGGCTCCCTCATGCCCTCCCCTCGGGAGGACCTGCCCAGGCCACGGGGTGCAGCTGCCCCCACGCCTCCCATGCTGTCCTGCGCCCGTGGATCCCACGTGACTATGAGCCAGTGGCCAGTGCTCCCAGCGTGGAGGTGTGCAGGCGGCCCGCTCACACCATGCTGGGGCTTGGGGCGGGCAGAATGCAGAATGAGGACTCCCCAGGGTGCCTCTCAGGTGTGTTGACATGGGGAGTAGAAGCCAAGAGGCAACCTGAGGGCCTTCTGGCCAATCCAGTGCCCGCTGGGAGCCCGGAGGAAGCTGGCCCTATGGCTGGGGAGGCATTAAGAGGGGGGAAGAGAAGGCAGAAGGGTACTTCCTGGGTGCAGACAGGGAGACCAGGTGGGTTCAGGGGCCCCAAGGGGCTTAAGTGTCTGTCTCAGAATGCGACTGGCCCTGGGCTGCCTCCAGGCCAGGCCAGGCCAGGGGTTTGCGAGGGAGGGAGGACCAGCTCTCCTTCCTAGCTGCCCAACCCATGGTATGTAATCCTTCTCCCTCTCTTTCCATAGCTTCCTCACCAAAAAAGGCTGTTCCCTCAGTGCTGACCCCAGCGATGGCCTACATCCAGGAGCTGGGGTAGGCCTGAGTGACCCAGAAGTAGTGGGGAAGGGCACAGCACGGAACCTTAAAGAGAAGAAGTGAGGCCTCACCCCTCCCCTCAAAGCTTCCTCCCAGCTCTCAGCCGAGCCAGGCCTCCTGGGAGCTGCCCGACCTTGAATGAACGGTCAGTGGTGTTCTCCCGCCCTCATTCTTTCTACTGAAGTTACCCTCTGGCCCTGAGACACTGACGAGCCCAGCCTGGGGGGCACCCTTGGCATCCAACCTCGCTCTGCAGAAGGTTGGCCAGAGTCTGCTGCGAAGAAATGGGTCAGGCCTGTGAAGCCGGTAATGGGAAGCTGAGCAGAAAGCAATAAAGACTCCTGGCCAGTGTAGCTCAGTGGATTGAGCACAGCCCTGTGAACCAGAGGGTCCCTGGTTCAATTCCCCATGTCTGGGTTGTGGGCCAGGTTCCCCATAGAGGACACTCGAGAGGCAACCACACATGGATGTTTCTCTCTTCCTGCCTCCCTTCCCCTCTGTCTAAAAATAAATAAACCAAATCTTCAAAAAAAGAAAAGAAAACAATAAAGACACTGGGTGTGGAGGCCACTTTGCACAATAAGTAACCACAATAATAACAGATACCACTTTTCAGTGCCTTCTATGTGCATTATTTTATTTAACCTTTACAAGTGTAAAGCTAAGAATGATCACCTCGCTCTGCAGGTAAATCTTCCTAAAGGCCTCTCCGTAGCAAACGCCACAGCCCTTTTCTCTGTGCGGCTCCCAAGGCCTCTCTGTTCACTACTTGCTGGGACAGGAATGACTCATGGACCTGTCTTCCCCAGCCCTCTCCATCCTCTTACCGTATCAGGTTGCACTATTTTGTTTTACCCACTTTCGTGCCCCCCACGGAGCCCAGCAGAAAGCCTAGGCCGTACTAGGTGCTTGGGAAAGGGACGGATGGGTGGATGATGGATGGATGAGTGGGAGGAAGGAAGACCACGAATACCACCCAGCTGTCCCCAGAGGCTCTGAGGCCCATGTTCGGGGTTCAAGGAGGCGCTCTACGGACTCAGGGTGAGAGCATGCACAGTACAGGAACTATGGCCACTCTTCCCTGGCCTCCAGCCGTCCACAGACACGGACCGAGAGGGGGCCTGCAAGCTATGGGTACAACCAGGCTTCCTCAGTCCTCCTTGTGTCCTTAAACAGAGGTCAAGGGCATACATAAGTGGGGAACCCCACATACATACCCTCCTTTGAGGCTTTTACCCCCCTAAAAGCCACAGCTTCACGACCACTAACTACCTTGGACCCACCAAGACCAGTTGCCTTATATGTTTTTCCCTGTTTATGAGCAGTCAGGCCTGCAAGCCCCACGAGGGCCTTCCATTCCCTGCTCTGCCCCTGCCCCCTCCACTCTCATCTCCTGAAACACTCCCTGGGGCCTCTACAGCTCAAGGTCCATCCACAGCAAAATCCCCTGTATATTCCATCCCTATCCTGAAAGCTGCCTTCAACCTGGAGCAGGGTCCTGAGCCAGTCAGAAGAGAGGAGATGCTGCAGGGGCAGGTCCGGCCTTAGCCAATGACAACAGGCAGAAGCTGGAACTTGGGACTCGAAGCAGACTGCCAGGCTCACGGTGTTAGGGCGCCCTCTGCTGGCCATGTTGGCCATGGTGGCAGGTTGGATAACCCACACGAAGGGCACTCGAGGGCAGCTGGTTTAGAGTCCAAGGTCCAAAGAGATAAATGGGAACCGGCAAATGAGCCAAACACCCCAGCAGAAAACAAAAATACAAGGACCAGGCACACGGTCTCTTTGGAGAATGAGTAGCATGATCTGTGACACGAAAGAGCAAACTCACACACGTGTCCTTGGACTGTGGGTGCAGAGACCCCATTCTGAGACCACGAAACCCTACCCTTGCCTCAGTCTGCGCTTTCCCTGATCCTCCCAGTGACCGATCACCCGGGGGGAGGGGGCACACAGAGGGTGGCAGGTAACTCGGTGGAATTGCGTGGACCTGGCTGTCAGTGCTGCCCATCAGCCTCCTACCCGTGTGACCTCGGGCAACTTATTGAAGTGCCCTTCCCGAAGCCTCAGTGGCCTCATTTGTAAGACAGGTGTGATAAGCTACTTCACAACATGAGGAGTAAGTAAAGCGGGACATGCAAGGTGGCCGACACACAACGCAGTTGGCCACCTAGTCCCTTCCTCTGTGCTTCCCTTTGCATGAATTCACATCCTGCCGAGTTCAGCTTTGCACCAGGCCCCGCCCCCCTCGGCCCTTCCTTCCAGCAAAGGCCAAGAGGCCAGTTTGTTCTCTCTTCCTCCAGCGACTATGAAATGGTCAGAGTCCGGAGAGCTGAGAGGTCAGAGAGGGAACGGCCAGCAGAAAGGACATCTTCGCTCAGCCCTCCCCGGAGGCTGAACTGCCCCACTGCGGGGATGAAGGCCTCCACGGCTGCCCTCTTCCTCCTCATCCTCATCCTCACCATCACTTCTGTTTCTCCCGGCCGGGCAAGTGAGTCTGCCTGTCCCTACAGGGCAACAATGAGAAAGGGGAACTGGACAGCTGGCAGCAGGGTGACACCAGGAGAGCTTTAGGATCTCCGTCCTCCTCCCGGGGGCCTCTCCCCTCCTGCGGGCTTAGCTGCTGTCTTTAAATTCTCCCCTTTGTAAGTAGAACTGGGCTGTGGTCCCGATCCTTCTGGGGTTGGGCAGTTCTGGGAAGCTGGGTCAAGGTTACACCTGAAGTCCCAAGGACGGAGCCTTTAGGAAGAGGAACCAAGGAGGTCATGGAAGAGATGGCGATAAAGGCATGCAATGAACAGATGGGCAGGCAAGGCAGGTGGGTGGGGACAGGCTGGTCTCCGGCAGAGCAGGACCCAGGGTGTTGGGGGGCAGGCCGAAGCACCGCTGGGGCTGAGCTCAGCGGTGCGGAGCTTGAACCCAGACGCCCGTTCCTGGTACTGTGAGGCCGGATGGCTGGGGCCATCACGCAGTCAAAAGGAGTCCCAATGGGATGCCCAAGTGTGGGGCTTTCCTGACCCCCATCTCTACCCCCCAGCCTAGACCCAAGTCAGGCCTGTTGGAAAGAGCAGGGCTCAGCAGGTTTTAGAGCTGCAGGATACTTGGGGGCTGTGGAGAGCGAGGGTCGTTTTGCCTGCTCCCTGCCCCCGCTGCTACCATCACTTTGGAGGACCTGGTGACAGGGAAGGGACCAAGTCGCTCAGTCCTGCCACATGCCTGCCCACCACTGCCCCAGTCCTTCCTTCCTGCCTAAGGCCACCCTGACATGCAGCCAAGTCCGCCTCTGCCTGTGTAAATATTTGGGGGAGCAAGGGTCGCTCACATACTCTCAGGATGCCCCGGTCTTTGCAGCTTTGCTTCAAGAACCAAGGACGGGAATGTCGCTGTGTGCAGAGGTGCATATGGTGGGTGGGAGGGGACAACAGTGCCTTTGGGCGGGTCAAGCAGGCCCGTGCCATGGGTTCAGGCCACAGAAAGAGAAAATGGCCCACCCAAAACATGGATCGGCCAGCTGGTGCCCTTGAGAGGTTCCGAGCTTTGCAGCCAGCTGCAATCAGTCCCTGCTAACCGATGGCTCAGCCATCAAAGGGGTGGGAGAGGGAGGTCATGGGCTCCCTCTCGGCCTCCCTCACTCAGCTTTCGGTGTGATTCCCGCAGAAATGGTTGAGTCGATAAACCTTCCACACACCTGCTGCGTGAAATATCAGGAGAAAGTATTACCAAGGAAACGGGTGGCAGGGTACAGAAAGGCCCTCAACTGTCACCTGCCGGCAATCATGTAAGCTTCCCTACAGATATCTCTGTGGAAGGGGAAGGGGGGCCGGGGGCCGGAAGTGCACAGAACCAAGAAGTCTCCCTGCTGGAAGGAGGACAGTAGTGGTGAAGGGCTTTGAACCGCACAGGACAGGCCTGGGTGCAATTCTTGACGTTGCAGCTCACAGCTGCATGGACCAATAAACGGTGCGCCTAATGCAGCCCAGCCTAGTGGTCTAGGCTGGGTGGGAAAGGGGCCGACAAAAGCATTGATGAGGTCTAGAAGCCAGTGGGGGGCGGGGGGCCTCTGACAGAAGCAAGATCGGGGAGGCCAAGGTGAGCCCCATGTGAGCCAGAGTGGGGGGAGTGTGGACAGTCCCCCCTCTACTCCATGGCCCATGACGGTCTCACTTTGCCTCCGCAGCTTCGTCACCACAAAGAACCGAGAGGTCTGCACCAACCCCAACAACGGATGGGTCCGGGACTACCTCCAGGACCCCAACCTGCATTTGCTGCCCCGCAGGAACGTGTCCAGTTGAACCCATTCGATCACAGAAAGGCCTGGCCCAGCTGCTCCACTCCTCGTGACAACCAGGCCCCCGTGGGAGCCCAGGCTCAGGAGAGAAAGGTGGGACCCCATGAGAAATGAGGGCAGCCCTGTGGTCTGAACGACAGAGACATATTTAGAGAAATGAGCCAACGATCCAGAAAATAAAAGTATTTAAAATAGTTTCTCAGTGTCTGGAGGGAATGCCAAAGGGAAGGGAGGTGAGCAGACTTATATTCTCATCACACAGACAGACGCCTTTCACATCCGCCCCCTGGCTCTCAGCTCCTCACCTCGCACCGGGACAACGGCCGTTCTAAATAGTTACATCCAGCGTCAGGCCAGTCAGGCTGCCTCTGGCCTCTGACCTGTGAAGAGCCCCACAGAACTGGACATCTCCTGTCCACCCTTATTTCTAGGTCTCTTTTTCCTTCTGTTATTTTTTAGTTTAACACATCACTTGTGGGAACATGTGAGATCTTCCTCCCCTGCATATATCACCAGTGTGGTTCAAATGAATACTTATAATAAAAACCCTCAAAATAAAACCCAACAAACAGGTGTTGGGGTGGGTGAGGCAGAAGAGGGTATACAGGGGAAATAGATGGTAATGGGAAAAAAAGAAAAAGAAACAAAAACCCATAACTTTTTCTTAGCTGGCCAGGAAACGATCTTTGTCGCTTCAGCTGAGGCTTCGCCAAGTTCCCCTGGAGATCTGGTCTGCCCCCAGGGTCACATGGGCACAGAGAGAGCAGACACCAAAGAAGCCGTGAGAATCTCTCGCTCCTACGCTAAGCTTTCCAGGGCAGGGAAAGGGCATTAGGCTAGGTTGGGGGTAAAAATCTGGGTCCAAAACCCAATCATTCAATCAAGAAAATTCCCTTTATTGTCCACTTGATTCCTAACTCCCTGCCTCCTTTCTGCTTAGGGTGGAAGGAAAAAAAGTCAGCTTTTTCAGAAGCTTCTCAGCGTTCACCTGAGAATTTTGTCAAGGGTGGGGCTTGGACAGTCCCCAAGTCACCAAGGCCAGACACACGTACTCAACACCCCTTCTTGCTAATGTTCTGCCTCCCGTTCAACAGCAGGACGCTGACTCAGCAAAAGTCAACATGCCCCCGAAATGCTGTTGTGCAGACAAAACAAAAATCGGGCAATTAAAGATATATAATTAAAAGAAACAAACACATTCGGAAAGTAATCGTTCTAAAAACTGGCCATTCAAGGACTTGGATTCTGGTGAACGGACCCGTAACTCCCCCTGGTGGTCACCAGCGGTAACACATGAGCCTGCCACCCCACCCCCACCGAGGTTAATCTGCCTGGTGGCCATCTGCCCCAGGCCAACTCTCCTCTCCAGCAGGTGGAATCTGGACGGGAGAAGCATGTCAGGTTGCTGTCGGGGCCGGATCCCAGGGGAAGAGGTCTACGAGTTCTCGCCCCGAATAACTTTTTGTTGGTTTAGGTCAGCCTTGGTTTGTGCCTGGTAAACTATACTTACCCCTTCCCAGTGTAAAGTGTTAAGGGTGCAACTCAGCAGCATGACATGTGTCCGCAAGGCTGTGCTGCCAGCGCCACCACTGTCTCCACAGCTTTTCCAGCATCCGGAACTGGGACTCTGCCCCCACTGAACAAGAGCATCCCACCCCGGGAACCACCGTCCCACTACCCTGCTCTGTGACTTCTCTAGTTACCTCGTGTGAGTGGAACCACACAGAGTGTGTCCTTCCGCGACTGGCATGCATCTCATTCAGGCTATGTCTTCAAGGTCACTCTGTGGCACGTCATGACGGAAGTTCCTTCCTTCCCGAAGCTGAATAACACTCCCTGGCACGTTGTAGTCACCCGTGCATCCATCCGTGGGAATCTTGGGAACCCCCTTCTGGTTTACATTAGCCCAAGTTAGCAGGTTGTGGTTTCTGCTCCTCGTGCCTAAAGCATTTTAACTTGCAAAGTGACATCAGTCGCTGTGTTGTCCAGGCAGGGGCTCAGGCAGGGAAGGGCCCGAGGCTCTGACCAGCACTTTTCCTGCCCTTATCCCTCCACAGGGGGCCAGAACACACCCTCCTGCTCTCGAAACTGAGGGGTTACAGCTCACATGTCAGGAATGACGAATCGATAACCGATGCAATGTAGTCAGGTCTGGACCTTCGTTCACTTGTGTAGGCCAAAATGAACATGGAGGGCAGACAGGGCTTGGGCCAGAACAAGTTCAACGGGCACACCCAAGGCAGCAGGAAGTACCAAAGTCCTTAGCCAGCACCAAGGTCAAAGACAGGGAACTGTAGAATTCAAAGACCTAAAGGACATAGAACAAAATGCCATCATTTCCTTTTTTTTGATTGTTTGTTTCATTTGTTTCTTTGGTCCATCCGAGGAGTTCAGGGTTAATGTCAGTCTGAAAAACTGAGTCCCACCCCCATTGCAGGACATTATAAGGTTTGCCAGAAAATCCTGATGGTTCAGAACCGGAAGTACTTTTCTTAGGTGCATTCAGCTATTTTTAAAGAGGGCTATTCCTGTCCTTTCAAGGTAGACAGATCCCTGGCTTCAGGGAGAGAGGGAGAGAGGACCTCCTCCTTCTGACACATAGGTGTCTCCCACATTGATCACTCTAAAGTGAAGAAGACCTCAACCACATAACCCCGAACCCAAACAGCACCCATGACCTTCAGCCTGTGGAAAATAGGAAATCACCTGGGGGGAACAGAAAATAAGGGCTAGAATAGTGGGCCTTCCATGCCTTTGTCCGGGAAGGAGGTCGCTCTGACCAGGTGAAGGCCACCCACAGCAACAGGGGGACACTACTGGGAGGGACGGGAAGGAAAGAAAGTGAAGCAGCAGCTCTGGGGAGTGCAAAGGGCATTCTACCTGGCGCCCGGAGGTCTGTCCCCTTTCTGCGCAGCCATCTAAAACACAGTGAGGATTTGGACCAGGCGAGCAGATGTCCTGAGGCTAGCTTTGATAGGATTGTAAGAAATGTTATTTGACCTTCAGAGCAACCTTCTGAGATGGGCCAGATGACCATGCATTTCCCCTGCGAGAAAACACAGGCGTGCGTCTGTGTGTGCACGGGTGTGAGCCGCCATGGCCTGCACTGCAGTACTGGGGGGGGCACAGCTGATGCTATGCTCTAAAAGCGTGGGCTCCAAATTCAGATGTAGGACAGACCTAGGCTGAAATCCCAACTCTCGCTGTGACAGCAAATGTTCTTCTCTTCGCAGCCAGAAAAAGAATCCCTCTTCTGGAGGAAATGGCTTTTGTTAAGAAAAGGTATCAGTCACCCAATTAAGACAGGAAACCACCCCCAGGACAAGGTTACAGACCGGGGCCAGGACTTCAGGGTCAGTGGTGACGGTGCTCTTGAACAGGAGAGACTGTTCGGCCTTTAGGTGCCAGAGGAGGGGCGAGAAAGGAGCTGGGGAACAGCAGGACCTCCCTCCCGCCTGGAGCCCTCCAAGGTACACCCACCGTTCAGCTCCTGGAATACTTAATGTGAGTGGCGTGGGGACAGTGACAAGGGAGGTGATCAGAGCTGTGAGACAGGGCCAGCACCCCCAGAACAAGGAACCTGAGAGTGAGGGGTGTGAGGTTCAGTCCTTGGGGACTCACAGAAGTCAGGCGGGAGCTTTGGGTCCCCCTAGACTGTTGCCTGGGGACCCGAGAAGGCTCCGGAGCTGCTCTCAGGATCCAGGGACATGCCTGTGTGGCCGCTCCCGACAGGGTGGTCTCTTTCTCCCTCCCTCCCCCTCTCTAAAATAAAATTTTTAAATATGAAAAAAGGAAGATCCTTTCCTTCGCACTCACAACTTGGCTGCTTGGTAAAAAGGCCCGCTTTCTTGGCCCTCAGCACACCTTCCTCACCGAGCCAAATCACTTCTGGCTTCTGCTTTGAAGTGAGAGACAAGCAACTCTCCCCTGCACGTAAACACTTAGAGGCTTGTACGGCTATCTATCGGCAAGATTTTAAGATTGTTGGGTCTCAAGGGACAGGGAGGTGCAGGGAGGGGGAGAAGATGGGGGACGACTGGTTCCTGGAGCAGTCAGAACACACACAGCATTTACCAATGAAGGCCACTGTCTTCTGGGTGCAGTTCGCGGTGCGCCCAGAACTATTACAACAGGAACACCAGGGACCGCCGATCACAGATCTCCGTGACAAATACCACGATGATGAGAAGCTTTGAAATACGGCGATTTCAAAGTGCGACACAGAGGCACGGAGCGAGCACGCGTGGCTGGGACAATGGTGCGGGCGGGCTTGCTCACTGCAGAACTGTCACACTTCGGTCTGTAGAAACGAGCCCCCACCTGCAAAGTGCAATAAAGCAAAGTGCGACACGAAGACCTAGGCCTGTTCCGAGAAAACGCTAAGCTTGAGTACAGGTCGCTGCCATTTGTAGAAATAGGGAAGGGAGGGGGGCAGAGCAAGTTAGGGGGCGGAGTCAGGCGTTGCGTCTGACCCGCGTCAATTCTGACTGGCTGGCGAGGCGTCCACGTGGCCATGTTGAGTAGGGAGTTGGCTGGGTGAGGCTGGAACGCAGGGAAAAGTCCACTGTAGGCCAAAAGCCATGGGACCAGACAGGGGAGAAGGCGTAAGGAGCCACGAGCAAGGGGCCCAGGGACATTGAAACATTTAGAGACAGAAGGACACATGAACAGTGGAGGAGTGACTGGTGAGACCACCAGCAAGAAAACCAGGAGAGTGTGGTAGCCTGTGAGCAAGAGAAGAAAATAATTCAAGAAAGAGGAAGTAGTCAAAAGTGATGAGTGTGCCAAGACATAAAGGAAGAATAGAGAAGTGGCCGTTGACTTTGACCCATTAGGTCATCAGGGACTTCGAGGAGACGTCTCGGTGGGCAGCAGTGGTAGACAGACACCCAACCAGGGGGGTAGGAGACAGAACAGGAGCCGCGGACATGGGGACTAAGACTCTACACTGATGACTCTTCTAAAAACTTCTCTTGTGAAGAAAAGCAAAATTTTAGGGCAAGAGCCAGAAGCAGTACAGGTTTCCAGGCAGGATTTTTAAAGATACGAGAATTTAGAACACGCTTGTGTGCTGCTGTGCCAAGTTTTCCACGTCTCGGCTTCCATTTTCTTTG